TTCTTATAGTATTTTTAAAACACTTGAATTATGTGAACATGCAAACAGCTCTGGTTGTTTAAAAATATTACTTTGTTATATTAAGTTGTTATTAAAAATATTTTACTTTGTTATATTAAGTTGTTATTAAAAATATTACTTTGTTATCTTAAGTTGTTTAAAAATATTACTTTATGTGTAGCCAAAAAAGGCGTTCAACTGCCCAGCTTCCTGAAGCAGCCTGATATATATATATATATATATATATATATATATATATATATATATATATATATATATATATATATATATATATATATATATATATATATATATATATATATATATATATATATATATATGTATATATATATAGTTAGTTAGTTAGTTAGTTAGTTAGTTAGTTAGTTAGTGGCAAACTGCGTGGATCTTATCCACAAGCTGAGACGTTGTAACGTTCAGCTATAGCAGCCCAGTACTTTTTTTTTTTCTTTTTCTTTTTTTTTTCTTTTTTTATTAATTAATTTAATTAATTTTATTAATTAATTTAATTAATTTTGTTAATTAATATTTTCTTATTTTTCTTAAGCCATTTGTCTAAACTTGCTTTAAAACTATTCAAATTCTCGGAATCTACAACTTTTTCCGGAAGTTTGTTCCAAATTTGGCAAACTCTGTTTGTGAAGAAATGGATTCTGGAGCTAACCGATGCATGAAAGTCATTTATTTCGCGAGGAGTAAAACACTGCATTCTAATTTTATGTTTGAGACCTCTAATGGAAGAACATAGGCCATCTAATTTAATACTTGACTTATAGACTGGTTTGACATTAAGATTGACAAATTCTAGATTGTTTAATATCTTATATAAATGAATAAGGTCTCCTTGTTTTCTTCTGAGATTTAAATTAATTAAATCCATTTTAACTAGTTGTTTCTCATAACTTAGCATTCGGTTTGAGTATGGTATTTTTGTGGCCCTACGTTGAACTCTTTCAAGCATTGAGATTTCGGCCACATTCGGAGGACTCTACGCTGGAGTCGCAAATTCAAGATGAGGTCACACATAAGTAGTATACAAAGTTTTCCACATATAACAATCCCTACTTTCAAAGGTATTTTTCAATAACCCCAGTATTTTTGAAGCTTTTACAAAGACACCTTGATCTCTTTCTAATACACTGTTTGAGAGGTCATAAATCATTCCATTTATATTCATTGTGTATCAATACCTCCAAAAACTTTCTGATTGCCGAATTTCATCACCTTACATTTTTTGCAGTTTAGTTCCATACCCCAATTGTTGCACCATTTCACAATGTTGTCAAGGTCGGTTTGTATTTCCGCTTGTTTATCAATGGAATCTTCTATGTCTATTGTTTTGCTATCATCAGCATACATTTTAAATGTGTTTAGCACAACTTCTGGGAGGTCATTTATGAATAGCAGAAACAACATTGGACCCAAAACGGAACCCTGAGGCACGCCACTGGTAACTGATACCCATTCTGAAATTGTATTACTAATAGCAACTCTTTGTTTCCTATTTGCAAGAAAACTTTCAATCCAGTTATATATTTTACCAGTTATACCATACGCTTTAATCTTTGTCAATAATCTTTTGTGTTCTACTTTATCAAAAGCCTTTGCGAAGTCAAGATATATGACGCATAACGGTTTACCTTTTGCAGTTTCAAATGTAATTGTGTCAATTGTCTCAATAAGATTTGTTGTGCATGATTTGTTTGGAACAAAACCAGTTTGCTCCTCAGATATAAGTCTACTTGAAACTAAATGTTGCAGAATTGTGTCCCGAATGAGTTTTACAAATCACAGATGTTAGGGATACTGGTCTGTAGTTTTCTGGTTCAAGTTTTGATCCCCCTTTGTAAATTGGTGATATATTTGTAACAGACCAGTGGTAAGGGACACATCTAGTGTCAAAGCTTAATTTGAAAATATGAACAATTGGGTCCACAAAACCTTCTGCATCATGCTTTAAAACAAACCGACTTATTTCATCAAAACCCATTGCTTTTGACTCATCCATACCTTCTAACATTTTGAGAATTTTTTCATAGGTAATCATATTAGATAATTTACTGCAATCGCACTGGTTTTCGCATCTTTGCAAGAATTTGGGTATTGGTTGGTCATTATCATTAACAAAGACTGACTGAAATTGCCTATTTAATATATCTGAAATGTCTGATATCTCAGTTGTAACTTGATCTTTTTTGTTCTTGATTGCTCTAATTTACATTTTAATGTTTTGTTTTATATTTACGTATGAGAATAAAAGTTTTGTTGTAAGCTTTGCTCTCTTTATTAAATCCATTTCGTATTCTTGAGTTGATCTTTTGATTTGCTTTTTAACATTAGCACACATTTTGTTAAAAGCCTTTCGAGATTCTTGACTTTGCCGATGCAAATTTGAATAAAACATAGAATGTTTAATCTTTATTGCTTTTTTAACTTTTGCATCCAACCAGGGTTGACTATTCTTTTTTTTATTATTCAAAATAGGAATAAACAATCGACAAGATTCATTATATGTATGCAAAAATAACTCATAACATTCACAGGCTGATTTGTTATAAAAATGCTCAACCCAGTTGACTTGTTTCAAGTATTTATTCATTTGAAAAAAATTACCTTTTTTAAAGCAAAACTTATCTTTTGTGAGTACTGTATTGTTACTAAGACTAGTAAAATATTGCCAAGTGATGGAGTAATGGTATCTTATTGCAAACTAAAACAAGATTAAGGGTGTTAACTGCTGAAACAGAGTCATTTTGTTTGAATGTTGGAAAATTTACTTTTTGGTATAGAGAACAATCATTTAAAACTTTAATAAATTCATGTTCAATTGAGTTTCCATTTGAATGAATTATTGGACCATTATCTGTCCATTCTATATTAGGAAAATTGAAATCTCCGACCACTATGAGATCTGTGTATTTTTTTCCACTTTTGAGTTTTGAAGCGGTTCTGATTGAGTCTAGAATCAATTTTGAGTAATAAGCTGTAGAGTTTGGTGGTCTATATACACAACCAACAATTAAATGAAAATTATTACAATTTATTGAGCACCAGACTTGTCCGATCTCTTTGTTGTTAAGATGCACATTTACAATTTCTATATTTGTAAGTCTTTTATTTACATAAATGGCAACACCTCCTCCAATTCTCTATCTGCCTGATACAGTTCATAGCTATCAACTATTTTAATCAAATCCAATTTAAACCAAGTTTCTGCAATTGCAATAACATCAATTTCATATGCCAAAGCAAGTGTGGACATCTCAGATAATTTATTAGAGTTACAGGAGGTAGCATTAGTATAATAAAATTTAATTGGTTTATAGCTAGTACTAGTATTTTGCTTTAAATAAATAGGAAGTTTTACATTACTCAGGTTTTGGTAAGATTTATAAGATTGGCTGATATGAGCCCCTCCGGGCCTGCTTGGCAACCCTCTCTTTGACAAATGGGTGAACTTTGCGGTTGCCAATGTCTTTTGTTGTAGTGACGTCGATGCACAGTAATTTTCCGCTTCTAATGACAAATCGAAAGGGCTGGTCTAGGTTATTATTGTGTTGCAAGCTTTTGTTCGCCTTCTTTTTTCTCTTTATTTAATTGTGCAAATTCAGCCTGCTCATTAGGAGTGCGGTCAGGCCGTATATATACTTTTTTGTAGACCTCAAAGTTGACAGTTCCCTTGCTGTACCCAGCATCTCGTTTTGTGCTACTTTATTCTCAAATTGGACAACTAACAGTTCAGATGCATTGTTTACCAAGGGAACTTTAGATTTTAATCTGAATGTTGATTTTATTATTATTCGTCTGTTCAGCGAACGTATTAATTCGTTGACTATGTTCTCGTCATCTGTCTTGCGATATATATATATATATATATATATATATATATATATATATATATATATATATATATATATATATATATATACATATATATATATGTATATATATATATATATATATATAATGGTATATATATTATCATTAATATATATAAATATATATATATATATATCAAACCTTGGAATTAGGGTCCGCATTCGGTAATGCCAACCTAACTGCTGACCTAGAAGTGTTTGAGGTCAATAAAAAAATCGCCGTTAAAAAAAATCTATGTTTTATGGTCAAACCTTTGTTTTACCTTTTTTCTGCCAACCTGATGCCGATCTCACACAGAATATTTTTCCTAATTCCGAGGGCTGATATATATATATATATATATATATATATATATATATATATATATATATATATATATACATTTTTATATATATATATATATATATATAAACGAATCTGCATTTGGCTTGATATTTTCAATGTTTGAAGAATGCTATGCTCTATAGTGAGAGAAACAGTGGTAATAGATCCAGGGTTGGGGTTGTCTTTATTCTTAAACTCCTATTTCCTGCTTTATTTTGCATTGACTTAAGCTTTTAGTATTAATCAACAGAAGTTTGTAAAATTTATAAATGAATACAAAAACAAGCTTGACCTGTTTAAACATTATAATAAATTGGAAAATCAACTCTCGGAATTAGGAAAAATGAGGTCAGCAATTTATTTATATACCTCAAACTGCTAGAGGTCAGCATCAGGTCGGTAAAAAAAATTTGACACAAAGAGGTTACCTTAAAAAATAGAAATGAAGTTGGCCATTATTTGTGGACCTCAAACACTTTTAGGTTGGCAGTTAGGTCAGCATTGTCTAATCCCGACCCTAATTCCACAGGCTGGATACTTAGTTTCTTTAACTTATTAACTAGATTATAAGTATCCTGTTAGAAAAATTAAATTACAAGAATTATTTGCGTTCTCATCAATTTTTTGTTTCTACAAGTTTTTTAACTTTTTTTAAAATTTTGTCTACAATTTGTTTTTAAAATAGTTTTTGAAATTTAAAATTTGGTAATTATATTTATATGTAACTATATTTAAAAAAATAGTAATTACATTTATTTTATTTTTACTTTTTAAAGCTCAGGTCGTCACAATTGTGTCTAAAATTCAATTTCGATATTTATACAACTCAGCAGTTTTATACAACTGCATGTATAATGCTAATGAAGATTTACATAAATTTGCATACTGGCTTTTAAATGGAGAAGTTGTGTTTACAGGGTCTAATGAATTAGCATCTGACATGTTACCATTTCAAAGTTCAAAAGAACAATATGAAGTACCTCCACTGACAATTACTAGCTATGACATGATTGGTTCCTATCAGTGTGTAATTTTTGATAACAGCACAATGATAGAGAAAGTAATATCTGATGTTTTTGTTATTGCAAAGCAACCAGGTTTTAATTTTGATGTAATTATTTTTTAACATTAGATTATAAAGAGTTCAAATTAGCTTTGTTTTTTGTACAATATAATTTTATTTAAGAACCCAGTTTTTTAACTAATCCTTCTGTCATTGGGGAGAGAAATATAGAAGTTGGCAGCTCTATTTCCATACTGGGGTGTGTGTTTGATACATATTTTATACTAAAGGAAGATGATGTGTACTGGCTTAAAGATGGCATAAAAAAGATAAATGCAAATGTTTATTTTCTTGAGGGATCAGTCATGCTACCTCGTAGATATAGATTTAGTAATATTGTTATCAATCAACTCAACTATTATGATCATGGCTATTATCAATGTGTAATAAACTTATTTGGATCCTCAAGCAACAAAATTAAAAGTGTTCATTTTAATTTACAATTGCCAGGTGACTAAATTTAATGCATTTAAAAATAGTTTAAAATATTTTTTTTCTATTTTGAATTAATATTTTAAAAACGATTTGTTTAAGATACATCTTTTATGAGGCTTAAATTGTGGTTAAACAAAGAATGGATTTTAGAATATCTAAAGCAATCTTCTTCTGATTCTAAAGTGTTGAGAAATTTTGTTAAAAAAAGTGTAAGATGTTTTTTTTCTTAAAGTATTCCTTTTTTTTTAATTATGTTAAAACATTATTTTTGGTTGATAGCTTTAATTACTCTATGATATTAATTGCATATATATGCTACGCACAGATCATGAAATTGCACATTTCACGAAAATATATTTGCATAATTATAATTTTTATATTTATTAAATTTAAATAATGTTTATGTATTTTATTATTATATAAGTATTTGTTAAGTTTTTTTTTGTTTTCTGATTATATTAAAAAATAAGAAAAAAGGTGATACAGATAATATCGAAATTTCTCTTATGTAACACCAACAAAAAAAATAAAAAGCAATCAGTTAAAATAGTGTGTAATGGCAATGAGTATTGTACTTTTTAAAATTTGATTTGAACAAAGACAATGTGGATGAGTAAACAATATAATCAAGTAGAGTATTCCATATCATGATAATTCTTTCACAGTAGAAAAATCTTCGTGTATCATTTTTATATTTAATACGTAAATAAAGTTTTTGTGCATGACATCTTGATATTTTTAAAAATAGTAAGAAGAAAAAGAAAAATAAGAAAGTTAATAATGATAAAAAATTAAAATAATTTATTTTTAGAATTTGTTTAAATTTATTTGGTTTTAAATAAAGAAATAAAGATAAATTATTTTGAAATTTTAACTTTTCAAACTCATTCACAATGCACACAAGACTTCGATTCCATTCATTGATGCACTGATGTGTAATTGAATACTTACTATGCCTCAAAGTTTTATAGAGTTACATTTAGTTTTTCCATTATTGATGTTTCTAGTTTAATGTCATATTTAATATGATAATCATGCGGTAGTGGTGTAGTGGTAAGAGCGCTCGCTTTGTAAGCGAGATGTTCGGAGTTCGACTCCCACCATGTCCCTGGAAGTACCGCGCTCAACATAATTTCTCCGCGCAGCGGCCTTGCTTGTCAAGGTTTGTTTTTCGGAGTTAAAGAGTTGAGAGAGGGTTGTACCATGGTTTACAACAAAAAAAAAATTAAAAAAAAATGAGTAGCCTCCTCAACTGTAGTGGCCCCCTCGGGCCTTTGGAGGTGAATAATTAAAAAAAAAAAAAAATGTGAATGTATAAATCACATTTCAGTAAAGAAAGTTGTAATAGAGGAAGGTAAATTTTTATTAAGAGAGTCAAAAAAAAAAAGAAGATTAGCAAATTTAACAAGTACTGACAAGGTAGGAATTTTAAGTTTTTGTATAATGAAGTTGAAAATTAATTATTAGGATTTATTGGCGCTAAGCTGATAACAATTTATTAATATTGCAGTTACCAATTTGTCAGCAAACTTGATAACAGTAGTCGAAATGAGATTGAATTGCAAAATACAGGTTCCTAAGGGTAGTTTTATCAACATAATGGCAAATTATTGAAATCATGCCATTAGCTCTATTAAGTTTTTTACGGAGTACATCTATATGAAAACTCAATGAAAGTTTCGAATCTATAAAAATACCAAGATATTTAACAACTTGTGTTGAATATTTTTTTTGCAATATATTTTTTACAAGTTGTGATAAAGGTCTATTTTTAATTTTAGTTGTATTGATTGTTGTATAAGTTTTGTGGTTGGAAAATGCAGATTACATATGTATTAATTTGTATTGGAAATCTAGAGTAAGAAGGAGCAAATGTAAAAAACTCAGAAAAAGGTAGATCAAAAAGGTTGTTTATAATTTTATAGCTTATTACAAGATCAAATTTTATTCTACGGCATTTAAGGGATTCTAGCTTGAAGATATTGAGTCTTGAAGAATAATTTTTATAAGGAATAAAACATCTTTTTCAGACACTTCTAGTAAAGGATTTTTGAACCTTTCCTAACCGACCTATATCTTTTAAAAATGGGGATTCCACACAGAGGTACAAGATTCTATGATAGATCAAACTTGAACTTTATAGGTTTTGATAAGAAGCTTGAAATCATTAATGATAAAGGATTTTAAAAGTAGTTAGGAACAAGAATGTGCCTTGCTTGCAATGAAAGAACAGTGATTAGAAAACTTCATATCCAAAGATTTGACTATACCGATATCTTGAATTGTATTAATAGTTCAATAGGTGTACCAATGTTCATTGAGTATAAATTTAATGGTAAAAAACTGTTTCCATAGCGTAGATGAAAACATTTTTTGGTTGCTATATTAAGTTGCCAAACATCAACCATTTTGAAAATTTTTTTAAGATATTGGTGATGTGTATGTTATTTCCGTCACCACTTTTACCCATTTAAAAAAATAATGTTTTTTATTAAAGTTATAAACAGTTAATAAAAACTTTACAATTAATGATGTCATTAATCTAGAGTTAATCTTTTTCACTTATGTTTAAATTTGATATACGCTTTTGTTACAATTATTTTAAAAGTATAAAGAAGAAGTAACAACAGTTTTTACAAAACATATATTTGTTACAATTATTTTAAAAGTATAAAGAAGAAGTAACAACAGCTTTTACAAAACATATATTTGTTACGAATTAATGAACACTATTTTCTCAAAACATATTAGTTTTAAAATAGACTTTTTACATGCACTTTATAAAATTATTTCTTTTTTCAAATATATATATTTTTTAAGAAGAAATATTTTTAGTATATTAATAATTGACCATCTCATGGGGATAGGTTTAATTTTAATAAACTAATTAGTTTTATTAAATTAATTAATTTTAGGTATAACTTATTTTCTTATAACATTTTAATTGCTTAGAATGAATGCTTAAAAAAAACTTTTTTTTAATATTAAAAAAAAAAGTTTTTTTTTAAGCATAAAAATGTACACTTTTTTAAAAAAGAAAATGAAAACATTTTAAATATAATTTATTTAACTGAAACTTAGGTTTTTTTGAATGAAATTTAAAATAATTATATTTTCCAGGTTTTGATAGAGATGAGAGTTTTTAGAAACTGATCAAAATTCTTATTATTGTATGTGTACAGTAACTTTTTTTTTAATTTCATAAATTCACCTCCCTAATGCTCCAGTGTCTACTTCAGTCAAGGGAGCAACTCATTTTTTAAAAATACTTTTTCTCAATTCTTAACTAAGAACATAACATTAACATTTTTACTAATTAACAACTAACACTTTTAAACAAGGGCGCTGTACTGAGAAATAGATTGAGCACAGTAATTTCAGCAGAGGTGATTTGAACCTCAGCCTTTTGATTGAGAGTTAAATGTTTTACGACTAGTCTAGTACCACATTATATCTATAGTGCAATAGGGGGCTCCTTCAACTTTAAATGATGTTAATTAATTCCACTAAAATTAAAAACATGTTCAGAATATTTTTAACTATAAAAAAAATCACAATAAAATTTATTATGGCAACTGAGTTATTCAAAGTAAATAAATGTTGCAAACTAGTTTTTATACTAACATGATCAGCATGTCACTTCAAAAACTAGTTTGCACAAGTTTTCAACAATTAATATATTTGTAACATAATATTGAAACCTTGTAAATTATTGTCAATCAGAATGATTATGAATACTTTTTAAACATTTTTGCATCATAGAAGAAAACTGTTGGCCTTGCATGGTAGTCACAAAGTTTTTCCCATAAACTGTTGTTTTAAAGAGTACATTAATAAGCCTGACCAGAAAATGTTAAAAAACTTAAAATTTTTTTTTTTTTTTTGAAATAATAGACTGCCTGCCCAAACCAAACCCTCAGTCGATGTAGCAGCACTCCCTTGCGAGTTAGGCTATTTGTCAGTTGACATAGCAGCACTCCCTTGCGAGTCAGGCTATTTGTCAGTCGATGTAGCAGTACTCCCTTGCGAGTCAGTCTATTTGTCAGTTGATGTAGCAGCACTCCGTTGCGAGTCAGGCTATAAGATAGTCGATGTAGCAACGCTCCCTTGTAGCAGCAGGCTATAAGATAGTCGATGTAGCAACACTTGCAGTTGATGATCTCCCACAGGTTCTCGATAGAGTTGAGATCCAGAGATTGAGGCGGCCAATCCATCACTGATAGGTGGTTGTCTTGAAACCACTGCTTGACTACTTTTGCAGTTTGTTTCGGATCGTTGTCTTGCTGAAAAACCCATTTTATTTGCATATTCCATTCAGTATGAGGTAATATAACATCTTTCAGGATATTTTTATACATGAAACGGTCCATTATTCCATTGTTTTGATGTATTAGACCTAGACCGTTAGCAGAAAAATACCCCCAGACCATTACATTGCCTCCACTATACTTCACGGTCTTATGGCAGTAACGCAAATCGAGGCGTTTTCCGGCCGGTTGACATACATGGCAAATGCCATCGCTCCCAATGATGTTCAACTTCGATTCATTACTGAACAGGACAGTTTGCCATTTCGGCACATTCCAGTCAATATGAGATGTAGCAAACAGGATTCTTTTCTTCTGGTTTTTTTGTGAAATCAGCAGATTCTATGCAGGGCGTCGAAAAAACAATCCGGCTTCTGATTGTTTGGTTCGATACAGGCAGCTCTAATTGCTTTTCTATCTCGACTGATGATATCCAGGGATCCTTCTTGATGGATTTGACGATCATAGAATCCTCTCTAAAAGTGGTGGAACGCGATCTTCCACCTTTGTTATCTGCTGCCAACTTCTTGATACGGTCCATTTTTTCATGCAATGTTTATCACACATTTTTTGTGACATTCTACTTACGTAATCGTCAATAATTTTCTTTCTTAGTTCCAATCCAAGACTGTTGGAAACCATTTTTGCACTTGAAGTCATAAAAATAAAAAAAAAAAATAATCATGCTTCTTAAGGCTTACCGTGTTACATTTACCTTGTAATGATACAATAATGCTCTGTGGAACACAACGTCTTGGTTGCATGTGGACTGTATTTATGTAATGAAACACTTATTGTATTTCACTTCTTGTATTGATGTTCTTCGATAAAACACTTTGATAAAACTCAATTTGATAAACTGTCTTGATAATACTGCCTGATTGACTTCCATATACTGACTGAATTACATGTCGGTTTACATGTCTCTTATATAGTAAAATGAACGTGTGTGAACTTGTTCTGGAAGATTCTAGATGCTTTTTTTTGATGCTTCTGGAAGCTTCTGAATGCGTCTAGATGCTTCTGAATGTTTCTGGATACTTCTGGACGCTTCTGGATGCTTCCAGATGCTTCTTCTGAAAACTTCTGGAAGCTTCTGCATGCTTCTGGAAACTTCCTTTAATTATTAAAAAACTTCCATGATGTTGACACAGACCAGACTTAAGAAAATGAAACAAACCAAAAAAGTTGCACTTGTTTTGTCCACTGCAAAATGGCACTTGTCAACAAAATTCTGCCTGTGTGCTGTCACCTGTCAGCTGATTGCTCATGTTATGGCATGCTATGACTCCAGACTCCTGATTTGTTTGCTGTGGTAATATAGTTTGTTTCGTTTTTAAGACATGTAAAATTACACTTTTTAGCATTGTTCGATGTTGGTTGCAAATGTTTTGTCCAATACTGTATATATATACATATATATATATATATTTTTTCTTATGGACTACTTTTAGGTAAAAATTAAGACTTTCAAGTCAGAGAAACAATCAACTTTGAACCTGGAGTTCTTATGTATAATATCGACAAAGATTTCAAAACTTCACGACTCTGGCCATAAAAACAATAAGTTTCAATTTATTAAATCTCATGAACTCATTTTGTCTTATTTCATATAAAAAGTCATTCATCATTTTTAGAACTCCTAGACAACAGAGACCAGGAATAAATAGAGATTCAAAGCTGGAGTCTATTTGGGACTTCCCTGATTGAATTCTATGTGGTAGTGAAAGAGAGCTTGCCTTTCAAATTCCATGTTGGATTTCCACCACATTCCTGGTAGTACCGCAGTGGCCTTATTTGTTGTCTGTAAAAAATTTTTTTTTTTTTTTACAGACAACTTATTTGTCATATTTAACAAAGAATGACAAATATTGATGTGTTATAACCATAAACATTAAAGATATTTTTAATTCGGTATTATTACTTTTGACAAGATAGTTAACTATATATTAACTTTTTTGAAGTTAATATATACTTTATTGCTGTCTATTTATATAAGTTTTTTTTTATATATAATTATTGCTGTATTTAATAGAGTAGAAAAAAGTATGCTAAAGTATATAAATGAGGATCCTTATTAATATTATCATCTACAATAAAGAGCTTGATAACTCTACTGAGAAAATAAATTTTGATACCAAACCACTTAATGATAAGTTTACCATTTCTATTTATTTTCAAATTTTTATTACAATACAATATTTATAAAGCAAAATTTTAAACTTTTTCTTTCAATTAATGCAGTACTAAACTTAATTGAAATATTAAACTTGAAAAATAAGCTTGACTTGAACAAAGTAAATATATTTCATACCAAAATCTAACATTAGATGAACAAGAGAAATTTTTTTCAGACCTATCTTAAATGGTAATGTAGCTCTTTAAAAAAGTCCAAATTTCACTCATGAATAATGTGGGTGGATCATCTTTTTTTTGTGGCTATAAAGCGCAATATAATAAAAAATTTTAACTTTACAATAGCAAACTTGGTTTAGTTATAAACATATTGATACCATTAAATATGTAATAGGTATATAATAAAAACCAGCTGGAACAACTAGTTTTTATCTCCTGACCGTGTATCAAACAGAATACTATATCAGAATAAACTTTTATCAGAAACTTCAACTTGGTTTGATATTACTACTATCTGGTGGCTATTTTCTTGCTGATAGAGTACTGATGCATATTACTGCTGTTATTCGATAACTACTTAGTTTTTTTATGTATGTAAAATAATGTGATTGTATCTTTAGGTTATATATTTACTAATTTGCTGTGAAAAGCTTTCTATACCAGCTTGAGTTTTAATTTACTATTATTAATTTACTACATTAAGACTCAATATTAAAAATGAAATTGGGGCAATATTAAAAATGAAATTGGGGTAACATTAAAAATGCAATTGGGGTAGAATTAAAAATGAAATTGGGGTAACATTAAAAATGCAATTGGGGTAGAATTAAAAATGAAATTGGGGTAACATTAAAAATGAAATTGGGGTAACATTAAAAATGAAATTTGGGTAACATTAAAAATGCAATTAGAGTAACATTAAAAATGAAATTGAGGTAACATTAAAAATAAAATTGGGGTAACATCAAAAATGAAATTGGGGTAACATTAAAAATCATATCTTTTATAAAAGACTACAATTATCTGGACGCAAAATCTAGACAGCTTTCTAATGTTCCTATACATAATGTTCATAAAAAGAGGAATTTGATGTATAAAATGTTTCCTGTTAATTATATGACTGTGAGAATCACACAATTTGTTAGATAATATGAATGTCTTTGATCATTTTAATATGAGTATAGTTGATTAATGTAATTGTGTATAGTCAGGGTGGCCAGCAAATTTTCATGTTCATTTTCCATGACTTTTTCCTAAAACTTTACCATACAAAGGAACAAAAAATTTCACATAGGTCTTTACTTTTATCCAAAAGCATAAACTTGCTTTAAAAGTGCTCTCAAACTTCACTTTAAAAATAAAGCAATCATATTTTGATTGTCAATTCAAATAATAACTTATTAACTTACTTACTTTATTTGCAACTAAATCAATCAAAGTTCCCTGAGTTTTGCATAATTTATTTAATTTCATGACTCTAGCAGGATGTCCAAGTTGCTGCCCACCCTGATTGTTTATAAATAATAAAAGTAAATTTATATAAAAGCATTATATTATTTAAAGATTAAAAAACTTAATATATTTTAAAGGACGGTATTAGTTTTAATTTGTCAATTGTCTTTAAAAAATTTTCATCAACTTTTTGTATTGTACTGAACTCATTTTGTTCCAACACAAGTGTAAAGTTTTTAAAATCACCTTATTTTTTTACAATACTATAATTTTTCTAAAACTAGGTCTTTATTATTTGCTACTAACTTTCCTACCATTTTCTCTGGATTTGTTAACTACTTCTTGTTACAATAATGTAATAATATTGATATTACAATAATAATTTATTGTTATTATTTATTGTAGTTGTTACAATAATATTAATTTTACAATAATGTAATAATACTTGTTACAATAATCTGTTACAATATTAGGTATCTCTAACCACTGCGCCTCGGGTGCTAAATTACTACTACTTAAAAATATTCAAGTATGATGTTGTTTATTAAATTTCAAAAGATTTTTTAAAGCAGTTTGAATTGAAAAAGCTTATAAGAATTTTTGATGTTGTTGCTTTACGAGATCAATCTAAATATAAAATTTGCAGAAGAAAATAAAATATATACATAAAAGTTTTTAATGGCAATCGAAGTTTTAAAAAATTAGAAAAACTTATTTTTACCATTTAAAAAAAATAATTATTTATGTTATAAATAATTTATGTAATAAGTTACATTTTTATGTAACTTATTATTTTAATCATTTTTCAAATAAAAAACAAAATTTAAATGTAATGAGTTACTACAATCATTTTTCAAAAATTAGACAAAAATTTTTTTAAGGATGTAAAAGAAATGCAAAAAACACTTATAAGTTGTATTTATATTATGAACTCATAAATGTATACTTGTAAAGTTTTAATGTTTACTGCCTACAAGTATGCGCGCATGTTGTTTACAAAAAGATGTGACGTTGCACGGAAAGTCATCTATAGCTTTCACCTGTTAATAATATAAAATATAATATAAAATAATATGAAAATGGACAATAGTGTTTCCATTGGACAAACAAAGGACAACACAGTCTTCACACGTGGACAACACAATGCTCATATGTAAACAACACAGTATTCACACATAAAATACACAGTGTTCATGTGTGTTTTTTGAGTTTTTAAAATAATTTTAAGCCATATGCATTCAATGTTTTTATTTTCCAAATAGTGTTTTTGTTTGAAAATTATTTAATCTAAAAGAAAGAAGTATATTTTCTTTTCTTAACCAATGATCTATTTTTTCTAATAAATGTAGAGCCTAATTGTAAAGATTATACAAGTCTTAAGTTATTTATGTTTCATTAAGTTTGTTTTATTAAGTTTCAGAGTGATAAGATATATATACTTCAAAAAGAAAATAAATTATTTCTAAATATAGGAAATTATAGAACTGTTCAATAATGTTTTATTATAATATGATAAATGATAAAAATATGATAAATGATAAAAATGTCTTTGTTTATTTAAATTTAAAAAGATTATTTTATTTTGAATATGAATATGTTACTATATCATAAAAGTATATTACATATATATTAAAAATATAATATTTAGACAAATATTACTAAAATAAAAGTTACTACATAGTTATGTAGTAACTTTTTTTTACTTTATCTGCATATTGGCATATCCTGCTATGTAGTAAGCCATATATTGAGTCAATAGGTTGATATAAAAATGTTGAATTAAATGGTAAATAAAAATGGTATTTTAAATGGTAAAATTGATAATCATAAAATTTGGTAAATGGAACATTTAAATTAAAATTATTAAGAATGTTTTATTTTAATTATTGCTACAATTATTATTTAAAGAATTTAATTTATAGATAGAAGAAACAGTTTCACCTATCGCAAAATCTGTTATCTATTATCCAACCATCATTGTAAATATTACTGATTTTAGGTAATAATTTTTAATCTTTTAACAATGCAAATATATATATATATATATATATATATATATTATATATATATATATATATATATATATGTATATATATATATAATGTATATTTATATACATTTGTATGTACATATATATATATATATATATATATATATATATATATATATATATATATATATTTGTGCATATACATATAATACAGCTGAATATATGTATATGTATATGTACATATATATAAATGTACATATATATATATATATATAAATATATATATGTATATGTACATATATATATATGTACATATACATATATATATATATATATATATATATAAATATATATATATATATATATATATATATATATATATATATATATATATATATATATTTATATATATATGCTATATGTACATATATATATATGCTATATATATATGTATATGTACATATATATATATATATGTACATATACATGTATATGTTCAATATATGTAATATGTAATATATATATGTAATGTTCAATATATGTAATGTTCAATAATATGTAAACAACATTAAAATATTGCTTAATTGTCCCTTATATACATATATATGTTCAATATATGTATATAAGGGACAATTAAGCAATATTTTAATGTTGTTTAAAAGTTTTTTAATTATTAAAAATACAATTTAAAAATGTTGAAGTATATTAAGTTTTATCACTTTTTAAAAAACTGCAGTAGTAATGACTAGATAGTTCTGTTAATTAATGGTGTGTTTTTTTATTGTTTTATAATATTTTAAAAACATGCTAGGAGTGTTGAAAATTTTTTTCTGGTCTGGTTTAATAAGATATTGAGCAAAGAATTCAGACTTCAGGGAATTGATTCTAGTTAAAAAACTAAGAAGTTGAATGATAAATATCAGCTGTTAAATTTGAATAGGTATAGATATGTTTCTAGCACAAGATTTCATTGGTTTAACACACTTCCATAAATAATCTTATGTGCTCAGGCTTCTTAAGAAATATCTAAACTGTCATTAACAATCATTATCAACAAATGTACTGTCATTGCTGAGAGCCTGCATTTACTCAATATCCTTGGTTATTTTCTCAGAACATCTGGTGTGGCTAATCAACTTTGGTAATTGAGTCTCAATGTTAAATGAGTCATGATAGCCACCCTTAAGCTTCCACCCTTCATAGCTTCCATCCTTCATAGCTTCCACCCTTCATAGCTTCACCTATGATAGCTTCCAAAAACTTGTGCTGCTCTTAAGAGAATAAGCTGCTTTACCAAAGCAATAAACTGACTTTGCAAAAGTTCTTGAAGGTATCTTTACTGCTTTTATTTATAGAACCTATAACATTTGCATTAAGCAATGTTTACAATAAAAAATTGATTCTCTAATACAAGTGTTAGCTGAAAATAGTTGAAACATTTAAATAAAAAAGTAATCAAAATTTATATAAAAAATATCAAACTTTTAACACAAAAAAGCTTACTTCCTTTAACGATCTGAAAATTGTTTCACTACCTTAGATTTCTAGGATAAACCCAAAAATTACTTAACTCTGTAACAAAAATATATCAGAATTTTGGTTACAGAGCTGTTTTAAAATTCTGTTCTAATTCTAGTTTAGAAATAATATTAAAAAGTAAAAATAAGTACTTATTACCATGCTTCAACAAGCCAAGTGTTTATAAACTAACTTGTAGTTGTGATAAATTGTATCTAGGTGAAACTTTAAAATGTCCACTATATTTTACAACACTAAAAGTTGATTCATGACAGTAAATGGAGTAATTCTAGTGTATCAAACCAAAAAAAATTTATCAGGGAAATATTTGCTGGACTGATGGTATAGTTTAAGCATTGACCTTTAATAAATTTAAAAAAAAATCAAATATGCTTTGGAGATGGCCCATGCGACTCAATAAGGATAAATTTGAATGACTGTCAATATTTAAACACAGGTTTCCGGAAACCAATAATGTGTGTATATATATATATATATATATATATATATATATATATATATATATATATATATATATATATATATATATATATATACATATATACTTATATCGTAGTCGAAAGAGACTTTTATGGTAAAAAAAATCACTTTTAACCAAATTTAAACAATTTCAACAATTAAGCTAGATTTTAATGTCGTCTAAAAGTTAAAATAATTAAAATAATGTGGAAGTATTATTATTATTAAGTTTTATTATTATTAAATTTTATTTATTTATTTATTATTATTAAGTTTTAGTTTTTTTAAAAACTCCAACATTAATGACTAAAATTTTTTTTTTTTTTTTAAATGTTTTTTTTTTTTTTTAAATATTTTCAAAACATGCGTGGAGTGTTGCGTACTGCATCGACCATCTTATAGCCTACTGCTACAAGGAAGTGCCGCTACATTGACTGAGGGTTTGGTTTGGCAAGTAATCTATCATTTAGATAGAAGACTTTGTTCAAGTTTTCAAACTTTTTCTAGTCTGGTATATTAGCTTTCTCTTTAAAACTACAGTTTATGGAAGAAACTTTTTGATTTCCATTCAAGGCGACATATTGAACTTTTAGCCATTTTGAGTTAGGAAATAGTTTTTGTTAGGAAAATCAATTAGGCAAAGTTATTGTCCAGATTCAAGTGTCTCTTTAATTTTTTCTGAAGTTGCGCTATGTGTCGCTGGTCGTTCAATCTGAATCTCATTAACAGAAACAAGAAAATCCCAAGAACTAGCATCAAAATTTATTTTCATTGCCGATTTTGGCTTAAGCTGAGTTTTGAATGCAATGTCTTTTAATTTTATTATTACAAGAATTTGGTTATGAGCTTGATTTCGTATATGCATATTTTCATCCTGCAGCATGCAGTAAAGAAAATTTTCCTGCAAACAAGAGTAGGAATTTCCCTGGAGATTGGTAAAAACAATAGTTTAAATCCTGCTTTCTTGAAGCTTGAACAACTGAATATTTTTATATAGGAGTATACAAGCGTCTTTGTATTGTCCAGAGTACTTGATAGCAAACCACATTCACAGTAAACTTGCACAATATACTTAGTTACTGCTTATAGCTCAAGAGATGGCTCTATAGTCCTAACATATAACATCATAATTCTGATAGCTGAAGTTAGCCATCTAGCATGGCAAACTGATCCAGGTTTTTTTGAAACAAACTTTTCAGAAATAAAACCTTTTGAAATACCAACGCAATACTCATAGAGTTTGTGCTAGTCTGTACTATGATCACTTATAATTTCTCTGTTAACAAACAACTCTATCTCTGACTTTATTAATACAAATAGAAACAATGGCTGTTTATGAAAATTTAGATTTGATGCAGCTTCCCTAATTGGCCCCTTAAATAAATTAGGAATAATTGCTTTTCCATCTAATTCTGATATGATGTATTGCAGTGGCAGCAAACATCCTAAAAGGTTTAAGTTTTTGTTTATAATTTTTTCAAGTTTGACAACTGAACCACTATTATAACCTGTATTTAAACTTGCATTATCTAAAATAACCGCTATTAAACTCTGAACATTGTTATATTCTAATAAAACATTCGCAGTAGTATTTGCCATGGTTGCACCAATTCCATTAGGTATAACTACATGATTCAAATTCAGGGATTATTTTTTCCTGATTTTTCCAGAATTCCGGATATTTTTTTCAACTTTTAGTTTTTCCGGATATCCAAAACATTTCCAATACATGCAAGTTCAGGTATATATTGTAGTAATATAATTGTTTTTTAAGCTTTTTTACTCAACACTCATAGTAAATTATAGAAAGTGTCAAAAAAAAGTCAGAAACAATTCAGCTAAAATCGAAATTAAAAAGAAAATAAAGGGAAAACAATTTCCGGATATTTTATCGAAATAATTTTCCGTTTTTTTTAAATATGGCTAGGATGATCTATGCAAAATACTTTGTGATGTGGGTCCACTCTCTGCTGTAAATGTTAGATGGTATTATTCTTTGATTGCAGCAACAATGACTGGATCTCCATTAATGTTATATCTGAAAGAAAGTGTTATTGTAGACTTTTTTTCCATCTACTCCAATAACCTCTTGTTCTTTAACGATAGCTAAATTTTTAGAGCTTATGATGCTGCAGAATCTTTTTTTTTCACCTCCAATTTTTTTTTTCTGTTATTATTTGTGATTTGTTACTTTTTTTAAAAATTCCATAGTCAATTAATACAGCTGTTACCAATGCAGCTGTTGCAACATCGCTTATTTCAAACCTAATAGCGGCTTTTGCCAAGTTTGTTCAATAAGTTTGATTCCTTTCAGCTTGTACAGTTATGGAAAAGTTTTTATCTAAATTACTATTCCTATAATAATCACATTGAATTTCTAGAGCAAGTGAGTTAGCAGATCTTATCTGCTCATTAATTTTACGGTCTTGCTTTCTTTTTTCTTTGGCAACTGGTTTTTTATCAATTGTACCAATTTGAAATCTTCCGATAGATACTGGAAGTCTACAATTACATGACGACAATTCAAAAAAACGCTCAAAATTACAATCAACTACTTGTTTTTATTTGCATTTTTGAATTTGCCTTCTGCAACCAATACTTTGATGAAAAGTCTAAAACATTTTTTGGTTACTGACTTTTTGTGTATTGGAGGCAGCTTAGGATTACTCCACAGATTGATGTCACTAGCAACCTTTGAAACAATATTTAGAGGATTAATATTTCTGATACTGTTTATATTTTTTAAAAGAAAGTAGGAATATTGAACCACTTGCCTATAAGCTGTAAGATCACTAATTGGAAGCTCAGATGGCAAACCAACATATCTCTTGTTTTCATTACAAGTTCATAAACTTGTTATTGTTTTAGGCATTTTCTTTAATATATATATATATATATATATATGTATATATATATATATATATATATATATATATATATATATATATATATATATATATATATATATATATATATATATATATATATGTATAATTTAGTTATTTAACAGG